CTTTCCCTAGGTAAAAAGTTTGCTCTGCCTATGACACGCAAAAATTTCTCGCCGGTTCATCTGATTGCGGAACTAGAGCAGGGAATTCAGACATTAGAGGAAGACAGGGAAAAAGATACTGCAAGATGTAATATAGCCACCAGCATTAACGCATTCAAAAATCAATTCAAAAACAATAAAAAAGAAAAATTCATACTGAGAATATTTGAAGACACAAAACGGTTTATAAAACAACACAAGGACTCTATAGTAATCACAAATGCGGATAAGGGAAATAAAACGGTGATGATGGACAAAACAGAATACAAAGAGAAAATGAAAGATCTATTGAGCGACAGATATACGTACAAAACGATAAGAATGGACCCAACACAAAAACTGCTGAGAAAAAACAACGCGATAGTAAATGACATATACAAACAGAAAAACATTGACAATTATCAAAAGCACAAATTGACATGCAATGCAGCTACAGCCCCTAGACTATATGGACTTCCGAAAATACACAAGGAAAATACACCACTTAGACCTATTTCTGCTTCAACCAATGTGCCCTGTTACCACCTTTCAAAGTTCATTGGAAAAACTCTTAAAAAAATTGTCTCAGACCAATACAATATACACAACTCGTTCCAGCTAAAAGAAAATCTAAGAACCATGACGCTTGAAGAAACGAGGTTCTCATTTCATTTGATGTGGTATCATTATTCACCAACATACCGGTGCAAATGGCAATCCGAACGATAATGCAACAATGGACTCTATTAGAAAGATATACCACTCTCACAAGGAAGCAGTTCTTAACGATGTTAGAATTCTGTCTATGCGACAACAACTATTTTCTATATGACGGAGTATATTACCAACAAATACACGGAATGCCGATGGGAAACCCGTTATCGCCCACTGTAGCTGACATTGTTTTAGATAAAATACTTGACGACAGCATCGCAGAATTGAAATCTAAGGACATATATATCAAATACATCAATAAGTATGTAGATGATATATTCGCGATCGTAAAAAGAAATGACGTAGAAGATATTTTAAAAGTGTTGAATTCCCAACACAATAAAATCAAATTCACCACCGAGTTAGAAGAGGGCAACAAATTACCCTTCTTGGATTTGGAAATTCACCACTCAAATAAGAAAATAATCACAAATTGGTACTCAAAATCAATAGCATCTTCGAGAATGATAAATTACCACTCGAACCACCCATGGGCACAAAAGAAAAATACGGCTACTAACCTGATCAACAAAATCTACTCCTTAAGTGACCAGGAGTTCAGAAAAAGTAACAAACAGAAAATAATAAACATACTGCACAAGAACGGATACCCAAATAAAACTATTGAGATGCTAATAGCAACAACAATTAACAAATTAAAATCAACGCAAACAAACAATAAGTCTACCAGCAGAAGTGAAAACAGAAGATTTACAGGAGTTACATACATACAAGGCCTAACCGACAGCAAAACACTGCACAGAAATATTCAAAACAAGAACATAACATATGCACATAAGCCACATAGCACGCTAAACAAAATATTCACCGAAACAAAAGACAAAATAAACAAACAACAACAACATAATGTGGTCTATCAAATCAAATGCAAAGGTAAAGTCAACGAAAACTGTAACAAAGTATACATAGGCACGACAAAACGAGCGCTTGGAGTCAGAATTAGTGAACACCAAGCAGACGCGAAAAATAGGAAGACAACAACAGCACTTGCACAGCACTTGACGAATAGCGAACACATGGCAGATTTTGAGAACACCACAATTTTGGACGTGGAAAGACGGGAAAAAACAAGAATAACTTTGGAGAGTCTGCGAATACAGGAGAGGATAAGGGACGCGATGAACTTTAAAGAGGACGTGGACAATATAAACTGTGCGTACCGGACGGCAATACAAAGTAACAACTCAGATGGGCGAAGACAGTGACGTCCAAAAAAAAAAAAAGTGTTTAGTTAAATGTTTTGCGTTTATTGTAATGTAAATAGTTACACTAATTTAATATGTAAGTGTTATTGTGATAAAAAAGATATGTATATGTATATGTATGTATAATTTCCAGTCATATGTAACTATGTCTAATTGTTGTGTGTATTATGTTTTGTTTTTTTGCAATAAATCAGACTCCCTGATGAAGGCGTGAAGTACGCCGAAATGCGTAGGAGAAAGAGGAAACACAGTTTGCCTTTTTAATATACCGGCCGGAAAGCTCTACCAATGACCCAATAGGAAATTTTAACACTGG